GCTAGCCAAAAATACATCCCTGGAAAGTAAAGGGCTTATCCTACAGAGGTAATGGATAGCTATTCTTTCCAACAGTCAGGGGAGGAACAAAATTAGAAGTCTTCTAGACGCTTTTTATTCAAAGTGTCACAGGAGGTCGGGCTACACAGAGAATTGCCGGAGAGCCACTTCTGCAGGAAACCATTTAACAGGATGGATGGAGATCTGTAGACTGCATGGAAATCCCTACTAGTGGCTGGTTCTGGAAAATGCAGTCCCTTCAATGGTGAATTTTGAAGCATCATCTGATACAACATTGAAAAATACATCAAAGGGGAAAAAAGTACACAAAGCAGAAAATATAGCAATTGATTAATACTGAAAAAATATTGCCACAGAGTAGTTATAATATTGTGGCCAAATATTTTGCCATGTATTAAAATAACTGAATGAAGTAATCACTCTTATTAAAGAAGACTACTGGTCAGAAACACCTGATTTATGGGAATTGGTGCCAAGAAAACAGAAAGAGATAAAATATGAGCAGATAGTCTCGAGAAAGAAAAAGAGAGAGAGAAAGGGTTCTGACAAGAATGAATTTAAAGTGGTGTGCTCAGAGCAGGGGGAGCTGAAGAGTGACTCCTCTGTTTATTACACATCCAACAGGAATCTGGGGTCATTGTGATGAGGGGCACAAAGCTGGGCGCCTCCCTATGAACAAATTCCCTACACGTGGAGGAAAAGAAAAAAGTTACGACATATATGTGGTATGTATGTTGGAAAAATTGCTTGATAAAGTATTGAACAAATTTTTAAAAAGAAAGAATACTAAATAAATAAATAAATTTAATACTGCAAGAACACAAGGGCAAATGCATTTTGTTAAAAACCAGAGTAAATGGCATTGAATCTGGAAATACATACAACAAAATGAAAAGGAAAAAAGAATTTTTAGAAAGAAAATCAAGCATGCCAAAGATAAGCAAAGGGAAGCCAACATAAATATAATTTCATCCCTAAAGTGAGCATAGAAGTGGAATAGAATAAATAGGGACTAAGAAAAATATTACTATATAGCAAAATTGTGTGGTAATATAGAAAGAAGATGAAAGGGTGGGAAAGAAATACGCCATATCAGTGTTACTCAGAGGAAGTAATTGATAGAAATGATCTTTAAAAACTTGTCATTGAAGAGAAAAGGTATCATTACTAAAGACAAGAATGAAAAGAATCAAAATCTTTGAAAGCAGAATCAAAATATTTCACAATGAAAGAAAATACATAACTTGGCTCGGCACCTGTGGCTCAAGTGGCTGAGGCGCCAGCCACATACACCTGAGCTTGTGGGTTCGAATCCAGCCCGGCCCGCCGAACAACGATGGCTGCAACTGAAAAATAGCCAGGCGTTGTGGCGGGAGCCTGTAGTCCCAGCTACTTGGGAGGTGGAGGAAGAGAATCGCTTGAACCCAGTAGTTGGAAGTTTCTGTGAGCTATGATGCCACAGTACTCTACCCAGGGTGATAGCTTGAGGCTCTGTCTCAAAAATAAAAAAAAATAAGTAAAAAAGAAAGAAAATACATAACACACACACACACACACAAACACAAAGCAAAGACATGTATTACAAGGAAAAGTTCTTTTAATAACAGTAATGAGAAAACACAAAATATTTAAAAAGTAAGACTAAATGCGATTAATACTGGTAAATAAAAATAAGGTAATTCGTCTATTAAGTTAAAAAAATATTTTCAGTATAAGCAATTCTCTTGCCTCAGCCTCCCGAGTAACTGGGATCATAGGTGCTCACCACCATGCCTGGCTATTTTTTTGTTGTAGTTGTCATTGTTGTTTGGCAAGCCCAGGCCGGGTTCACACCCATCAGCCCTGATATATTTGGTGGGCCCCCTACCCACTGAACTGCAGGCGCTGAGCCTACACAGAGCATAATTTGTAATGAAAAATGAATAAGATGGAAAATATAAAATGCATCTTTTATCATGAAATTTAAAAACACTTTCTTAAATCTCTGTTCAAATAAG